TTCCAGCACACCCCCGTTTTTAAAAAGCGTAGGCCTGAACCACAGGGGGCCGGGCTTGGCGTCCCACCCACGCCTTGCCACAGATCTGCTGGGCAAGCCTGCCCGTCCCTTCCTCTCTACCACTGCCCTCAGGTGCTGGATGAGGGGACTGACAGCTCTCTCAGGCCCCCCTCTGGTTTTCCATGTCTGGGAGCCCGCAAATCCAGACCTGTGGCTAGGGACAGAGACACCTAGAGGCAAGCTATGCCCACAGCACTCAGTCCCACGACCAGACAATTAAATCACACAGCCTGGGTTTCTGCTCAACTTATCCCTCCCCTGCCGGCATGAAAGCGACAGGGGGAGGCCTGCGGCTGAAGACAGTCACCCCCTTATCAGCTCTGTTGTTCTGTGAGTAGCCAGCCACTCTGCGCTCTCGGAGCTGTGCTAGGTGCTTTACAAGAGCTCGGCTTGCTTTCATGGGTGAGGAAATCCGAGCAGAACAACACTGATGATTACGACACTGGCTGAGCACTCAGCTACGTGCCAGGCATGGTTTCAAGCGCTTCACACGCAGTTAATCGACTTAATCCTGGAAACGGAGCTGTTGATTCACTCTGTTTTACAGATGAGGAGACCAAGACGCAGACAGAGCTCAGTGAGTTGTCCGTGCACATGCTCTTGCTGGATTCACACCCCGGGGGTCTGGATCGGACTGAGCCTGTGACTCAGCACGGGGCTCGCTGTGCCCACACGGAGAGGCCAGCTGGTCCCGCGCCCGCGGACCACCGGGTGCCAGAGCTAAGCGTGCACGCACAGGATGATAAAAGAAGCGGAAGGCCTCAGACAGGGGTTGATAACACCCCGGGGGCGGGTTCAGGGGAGAAAGAGATCCCTGAGAGCACAAGGCAGGAGCACGAACTGAACTGTGAAGGGGGGAGGAGGGGGGAGGAGGGGGACACAGGGAGGTAAGGAGGTACAGGGAAGGGCACTGCTGATGGCAGGAACAGCATGAGCAAAGGAACATGCTGGAGGGAGCTGCGCCAAGGGCATGGATTTGTACAGAACCATTCACCAAACTGGGTGAGGCCCCGTGAATGAGTGTTCTCCAAACCAAACGCCTCCCGTTCCTATGAATGGGGATCCGACACGCGCGGGACTTCTCAGGGTCTTTGGGTGCCATGGCGCTGGAGGAGCCGGGAAAGCTCGGGGCTGCAGAGAGGAAGCCTGGTTACCTTGTAGCATGTAAAATGTCAATAGGTCAGCCCTTTGGCAAACATGTGGTTGAGAAAGAAGGCCTGTCATGGGAGGGAGGCCCTGGTGCAGTGTGTGTGTGTGTGTGTGTGTGTGTGTGTGTGTGTGTTTAAAAGAAACTTTGGACCCACTCAACAGTTTTGAGCTGGGGAGTGACATGCTCTGAGTCGTGTTGACAGGCCAGAAATCTGAGCTCACTTAAGAAGAAGGGGAGGTGGGAGGGGGTGGGGGGGAGAGAAACCAAGACTACAAATAAAAAAATAACCTGTCACAGGGAGCCATTGGAAGCAGCAAGCGAGTGAGTGTGGGATCCGCACAACACTTTTAGACTGCCTTCCTCTCGCACACCCCCTCTCCATCTGCTGCAAAGGGCACCGGGAAGATACGCGCTCGGAGGAATATTCCAGCTCTGGGGCCTCCAGAGCTCGGCGGCCCAGATGGGGGGCTCTGACGGGAGCCCCTTGTGGCTTGTCACTCGTGAGGGCCAAGGGGCTGCCCGGGGTTTCCACCCTCAGTGTAGTTCCAGAGAAACAACTGTGACTCAGTGAAGCGTGTCTGCCCCAGGAGGAACCTTTCTACCAACTTCCATCGGAGCCGGGAGGGGCCTCCTCCTGCTCCCTCCAGCTCGGGCTAAGTCCTCCCAACTGAATCGGGGGACGTCTTCCTTCAGAGGGTACAGCCAGGAAGCCGGGGTTCAAAAACCCAGGCTCCCTACCTCAGACACGTTCCTTCTCCAGTGTGGGACTCCATTCTCCTTATCTGCAAAATGGGACTAACAGCCAGCTCAGTCTGTGTTTGCTGACCGAGGAAACTATGCAGATTAGGCAGTCCGCACGCAGCCTGGAACACAGTTAACATTCAAAGAACATTTGGGTCTCCTCGCCTCTCTCCACACATGGTTCACATTAGGAGCTCATGCGTGCGGAGCGCCTACAAGTCAGGGAATGAATCACACCCTGAGTCTCGCGGGATTGGTAAAGGAGTAAATAATTAAGGGGCAGAAGCTAACCAAGGAACCCTCGACGTTAAGGGCCTTCCGATAGCCTGAGCCCAACAGGGCGAACGCCCCCCGCCCCTGTCTTCTTGAGAAAGAGGAAGTGAGATTCGTTTCACCATTTAGGAAAGTACAGAGAAGCCTTCGGCGTGCCGCTCTCTACCAAAACGCCAGGGCCTCGCCAGAGGGCCCCGATGCCCCCAGACCCGAGCCCCCGTGGCCTGGCCTTCTCCAGGCCCGAGCGAGGAATGAATGGGAGCTCACTTTGAGGTCAGCCCAGTAGGTGCCGTCCCAAGACCTAGGTGGGGCCCAGACAGGAGCCAGCAGGTTCCGTGCCATGTGCTGTTGCTGCTGCTAGACTATCTAGCTCCCCAGATGTCCCCAAGCCCCTGTCCCCTGTCCCCTGCCCTTCTCTGGGCCTCAGAATCTCCTCAGGGCGTTGTTTTACGAAACACGCCTCCCACTGGCTCCCAGAACACAGGTTGGTGACTTCACTGGCATCTTTTTAGAATTCCCCTTTGGCAGCAGCTGTGGTGAAAGCAATCTTTAGAAATCTCTTCCCCTGCCGCCCCCAAACATGATAATCCCTGTGACCAGCCCCCCTCCAAACAGTGACCATGGGAAGCCACGGCGGTCACGTGACACCTCCCAGGCTGACAGTACCGCCAGAGACACTAGCATTCATTCAATCCAGAGCCGCCTTCCGAAGCCTGACATTTGAGTTTCTCACTCAAACAAATCCATTTTCTTAGGAAATTGCACGACGGCCCCCTTCTACCTTCCTCTGCCCTTCTGCTCTGCCTCTGTGCTGCTTTGTCGCATACCAGGCTTAGATCCACCGAGGGAGGGGCCTGACGCCCCATCCCTCAGCCAAAAACCACACGAATGCCAGGCCAGGGCCGGAGTGTGACCAGGACCCTGTAGAACATAGAGTGAAGGATGCTGGGAGACTTCGGTTATGATGGTGACACCCTGCCCCTCCGCCAGGAAATGTATTCTCGCCTCCCGAGATTTATTCATTTCAAAGTTAATCTTGGCCCCTCTGCTGCTCCCACTTTTTCAGGCTATTGATGCTGAATGGCTTGGAACCGAAGTTTTATGGCCTAATCTTTACCTTTTTATAGATTGTTTTTATAGATAAAAGGGGGAGATTCTATCACAGGAAGGGTGGTGGGGTTCCCAGCTGGGGCCCTGGGAAAGGTAGGCTGTCCATCTGAAAACCTGTGAGCCAGCGTTGCCACGCTTTTTGCCAGAAAACTAAGCCACTGGGTCCTGACGCGAGGAGGGTCTGGAATAGACATTGAGAGATTAACTTGTGCCCAATTCCCTGTTTCAGGAAAAAGAAGCACGTGTGAGAGGCACTCATGCATTTCCAAGCCAGGAAGGATGGCAGGGCAGGGGCTGGGACTCTGAAGGGTATACATGGCCGGCTCAGGCAGGAAGGAGCAGATCAGAGATGCCACTCACCAGAGAGATAGAAATATACCAGTGCTTCCTCCCGCCCAGCAAGGACCCAACAGCACAGAAAGACCTGGGAATGGGGCTGGGGGTTGGGGTTGGGGGAGACCTATGTGGATCCCCGGGTTCAGGAGAAACTGCAGGGCAGAGAGAAGAGGCTGTTTACCCCCACTTCTCCCTCCACCCACTCTCTGCTAGTTCTCCGTTTCTCACTGCTCTCAGATGGTTACCCGTCTCTAGGCAAATGCAAAAGGGGGAGGTGGATACTGAGCTCATCTCTGCCTCTTTCCTCAAGGGAGGGAGGTGCCGAGACCCCTCTGCCGACAGCACAGCTTCAAGAAGCCCAGAATCAAGATGCTCCTTTCTTCCCCACCCCTGCTCTTACATGCCATGCCTCTGCCCCCCATGCCCTCCCCGGAGACCCACGGTTTTTGCAAAACCCCTTTAAGAAGCAGGACTCCTGAATGGTGACCTCACCCCTTGGCGAACACATGCCAGCCTTCAGAGGCTGCCGGCTGGAGGCAGCCAGGTGTTTGATGTAGGCCAACAAAAAGCCCTGCTCAGAGCCACAGGTAATAGGCCCACGGAGCCCCTGAACTGCAGGGAGCTGGGGAAGGCAGGAGGGGGCGGGGGCAGGGGAGGGGGCGAGCCAGCAAGGAGAACTGCCATCCAGTGTGAGGCTCCGGCTACCACAGGGACATGCAGGGTGTTTTCCTATCAGGATCTGTTGATCTGATCGCAGCAGCTCACCCCAGGGTTACCACGGCCTCCCTCCGTCTCTCCGTCTCTCCGTCTCTCCCCCATGCACACACTGACACTGTTTCACTCTGCGCACCAGCGGGCAGGCTCCCTCTCCCTAATTGCAATGCCTGTTTCTGTTCCATCCTGGGCAGTGAGTGCCTGGGGACCTCTGCCCCCCACCCCTTCACACCCTTCTCTCGGACCCTGAAATCAAACCTGTGGAAAGCATCCGACCAGGCAGAGAGCTTTTTAGAGAAGCCGGGTGTCTGGTTCGGAAAGCAGCCGGCAGCCTGCCTCCCCCCCTTCCGGATCGGGCAGGGCGCAGCAACTCATTGGGGGCCGTTCCGGTGCCCGGCTCAGTGGCACCCAGTGGGCATCGGGTTCCATCCTTGGCTGTGTGACCTTGGGCCACTCGGCGGCCCTCTCTTGGCCTCAGTTTTCCGATCTGTAGCCCTGACTACAGACATCGCTACCCCTATCGCCGCGGACAGCCCCGCGGCCCCCAGGGGCGGCCGGGGACGCCGGAGCCCGCCGTGTGGGGGGCAGCGGCGGGGGCGCGGGCGGGGGCGCTTACCTGCCCAGGTGCAGGACGCGGCGACCAGCAGGCAGAGCAGCGGCCCGAGGCGGCCGGGGGCCGGGCCGGCGGGCTCCATGGGCCGCGGCTGCGGAGCGAGGAGGGAGAGCGGCCGTGAGTGCGCGCTCGGGCAAGCGCGGGCTGGAGCGGGGAAATGACTAAGCCCCCCCTCTTCCCCCTCCCGCCCTCCCTCCCCTCCCTTCCCCTCCCCTCTCGGCCGGGCTCCCCCCTCCCCGGAATGGGCGCCTGGAGCAGCTCCGGAGCCGCCGTCCCCGCCGCGATTTTAGGATTACATCCCCCCCCCCCACCCCCGCGCCCCCCACTCCCCGGAGAGATGGGGAGACGGGCAGACCCCGAGCGCGCAGGAGAGAGAGCGGGGCGGCCGGAGAGCGGCGAGGCGGCGGGAGAGGGAAGCAGACCGGGGTAGCCAGGCAGAGAGCCAGAGACACAGGCAGCGAGGGGTGGGGGGAGCGAGAGGCGGGGGCCGGGGAGAGGAGCGCGCGAGGCGGCGCGCGGAGCCAGACGCGCCGGAGGAGAGGGACCGCGAGCCCGGGTCCGGGGCCGCTCCGCCGGCCGCCCCCGCCGCGGCCCGCCGGCCCCGCCCGCTCTCCGCCCGGCGCCCGCGGCTCGGCTCGCTCCGGCCGCAGTCCGGGCCGCTGAGCCAGGCCCCCGCCCGCCGTCCGCCCCCTTCTCCCTCCTCCTCCTCCCTCCGCCCTCCAGCCCGCGCGGGGGCTGCGGGGCTCCCGCCGCCCGGCACCCCCTCGGCGAGCGCCCGCCAGGGGAGGGAGGAGGGCTGGGGTCTCCCGCGCGGCCAGGAGGCCGGGGTCGCCCCTCGCCGGCACCCGCCCGCCCGAGCCCCCCGCGCAGCCCCGGGGGGCGGCCGCCAGCCCCCGCCGCCGCCGGCGCACCCCGCTCGCTCGGTCCGGGACCAGCCCGGCCTCCGCCTCCAACAATGTGCCAGTTCAGAAGCCGCGCGGCTGTCAGCTCCCCGGCCCGCCCTCCCGCTCCCCCGCCGCCCGCGGACTCGGACCTGCGGGCTCGGGGGCGGCGGGGGCAGCGCCGGGGGCCGGGGTGCGGGGTCCGGGCCCGCTCCGCTCAGCGCAAACTTGTTTTTCCCAGGTCGGCGCGGCGAGCCGGGCTCAGCATCCTCTTAAGGTGGACTGGGGAAGTTGCGGCCGGCCTCCCTCGCCTCCGGACTCCGGCCGCTGCGGCCAGTCCCCGCTTCCCTCTGCCTGCCGCCGAGAGGCTGGAGGTGGCGAAGCAGCGGGGGGAGCGGCGGGGACTCGGGGTGTCTGCCTGTGCCTCCTCCCAAGTGGCCCTGCCCCTTCTCCAAAGGAAGGCCCCGTGGGGGGTACGCTTGGGCCACATAGGGGGCCCCCCAAGTCTGTCCGAGCTGGGCCTAGGTGGAGGAAAAGCAGGAAGTAAGTGAATGTGGGGGGAAGGGGAAGAGGAAGGAGAGAGTGATGGTACAAAAATAGCGTGTGTGTAGGAAGGATTTCAGTGCCGCCTGCAACAGAGGCTTCAGGGTAGAGGAGAAAGAACGATTGGAGGGCTGCGGCCAGGGAACTAGAGGGGAAGGGTCCTCCCCTCCCCGGGGAGGTGGGCACTCACTGCCAGGTGCCTCTCTGTGGCAGACTGAAGGGGGGGGGGGGCGGGTGTGCAGAGAAGGGGGACTTGAAGTCCTGGGCTCCAGGACATGACAAGTAAGGAGTAATAACATGAGGGCAAAGCAGGGGAACAGAGGCAAGAGGCTTGGAGTTGGAGAGGACAGAGCCTCTATGTGTCTCTGTCTTTCAGGCTTTCTGTCCATCCCTCCCTCCCTTTCTCTCCCCTTCTCCTTAAACTGAGCTGTGTGCCCAGTAGCAGCCAGGTCAGTGACAGGGAGTGGGCGTGCTGGCCACCTGGCGAAGGTGGTGAGGACAGTGGGAGGGAAAGGAGCCCAAGGCCCTCTGCTAATTGGAAGGCTTGGGGCTTGGAAATAAAGCGGCATCCAATGTGGCAAGGCTGTCAAGGAAAGAATATGAATGAGCCCAAACTGGTTTGGCTCAGTGGATAGAGTCTCGGCCTGCGGACTGAAAGGTCCCGGGTTCGATTCCGGTCAAGGGCATGTACCTTGGTTGCGGGCACATCCCCAGTAGGGGTGGTGCAGGAGGCAGCTGACTGATGATTCTCTCTCATCGATGTTTCTAACTCTCTATCCCTCTCTCTTCCTCTCTGTAAAAAAATCAATAAAATTATATATTTTTATAAAAAAAATATGAATGAAGCCACAAAAGGGAGCCCAGAGAGGAAGTGGATTTGCCCAAGACCACACAGCAAAGGCCAGGGGTAGAAACAATTTTGACTTCCCGGAATCCCGGGCTAAATAAAGACCTTTGCAAAGTGATAGCCCTCACTCCCATCCCAGCCTCCCTGCCAGAGGCTGGTCCTGGTCTGAAGCAGCCGGGTCCAGCTTGAGAGCAGGAACCAGGCTCCTGGGTTCCAATCCTGCCAGCTACCTCTTATGAGCTGTGCAGACTTGGGGAAACACCTTATCCTGTCCGTGCTTCACCTTCCTCGTCTGAAATGAGGCCAACCTGAGTGTCTACCCAAAAAGGCTGGTGAGAGGATTGGGTGAATTAATACTTGTACAACACTTTAAAGAGCGTCTAGCATGTCCCAAGTGCTCCACAGCATGTGACAAATAAGTGAAGTGTTTGACAACAATCCTTGGGAGCCCACAGGGTTCTGGGCAGTATTTGAAGGACGAGGGAATTTTACTTTTCTGTGGGTGTGGGAAACACAGCAGGAACCGTGTTCCTGTCCACACGAGGCATTTATATTCTGGTGGAGAGACAGATAAGTAGACAAGTAGAAATAATTAATGAACAACAGAAGATTGAGCTCAGAGAGTGAGGAGGGTGTGCTCATTTAGATAAGGGTGAGGCCTCCCTGAGAAGCTGGGAGCTGAATCACGAGAAGGGGTGACAGAGTGAGGATTTGGGGGTTTGCTGTTCCGGGAAGAGGGGGCAGCATAGATAAAGGCCCTGGGGCCAGTTTGGCTGGAGGGGAATGAGCGAGGGATGGGGGAGAGTGGTCCAGGTAGGTGGTCTTGCAGGCCTTGGTGAAGCATGCATTTATTCGACAGATAGGAAGTTATTGGCGGGTTTCAGCAGGAGAGCACCATGGGGTGATCCATATGCTTAAAAGGCCAGGGCAGCCTGGCTTCCAGCGGAGAGTGGGCCGCAGGGAGGGGAACATGGAGTCAGAGCACTGGTCAGGCGGCTGTTCTGGGGTCCTAGTATCTGAGTGGGAGGGAGGGAGCCTCTAACTCTTCAGGCCACATCTGGCGGAGACCGTGAAGGTGACCAGCTGAGACTCCTCGGAAAATCCATTATTAGAATCTATCTGGGTGGGAATGGGGGCAGAGGCTGCTGATGAAGGTCAGAGATGAGGCAGACTCCTGTCCTGGGCTTCCAGAAAGCCCTGCCATTCCCCAGGACACAAACACACACACACACACACCCTGCCTGGGATTAGGAGAAGGCGGATTAGGGAAGGATAATAATTGAACCACCTGCTATTTATACACTAGTATAGCACCTCCTCTGGCAAAGGACTCAGCGGGGCTTCCCAACACTTGTCCCAGGAGGGGGCGTGGGCCTTGTTTTCTTGTCCCAGCATCCATAGAAAAATCACCCGTGGCCAACTCTCAGGGCTGGGAGGTCACTGAGACCAGTGGGCAGCCAGCCGGGTATCCTGAGGTTGGGGGATTTGTTTGAAGTCACAGAGTGAGATTATGGCAGACATAGGAGGCCTCTGGGCTGCCCTGGGTTAAAATGGAATTGCCTCATACATATACGATGCATTCATGCAATCAACAGTATTAATCATGCATCTACTATGTGCCAGGCTCTGTACTAGGCACTGAGGATGCAGCAGGTGTGTGTGTGGGGAGCGGGGGGTGGTGGGAGGGCGGGGAGAAACAACAACAGACAAAAACCCCTTCCCCAAGGAACTGACATTCGAGCAGGGACAAACAAGCAAATCAGTATGTACTCTATTTAGTGTGTCAGATAGGGATAAAGCTTGTAGGAGGGGGGAAAAGCAGAGAAAGGGCCCAGAAGGGCCAGTGAGGGAAGGGGGTCAGGGAAGGCCCGGAGGAGGTGATATTTAAGTGACTGCCGAAGCCAGAGGCGGCTCCATCCCTGCATGGCTCCGACTCTTCCCTGTCGCTCCTGGCCCGCCATCTGTCAGCAGCGCATCCCACTGGCTGGACCGTCCCTGCAAATCCAGAACCAAACCCCCTCTCGGCGCCTCCACAGCTGTTCCGGCCCTGGTCTAAGCCTTCACCATCTCCCTCCTGGGCACCCACTTCCTGCGTCTGTTCTCCACTCCGCAGCCAGAGGGATCTTTTTATAGAAGCCCGACCGTGTCCCTGCCCTGCTGGAGAGAACTCTGGAATCAGCAGGAGGAGGGGAGCACCAAGGGCCTTGAAGCCAAGACTCGGCCCACTTGACTGATGAGACTTTTCTTTATGAGCCTCAGTCTTTTCATCTGTGAAATAGGAATAACCAGGTCTCCCTGATCCCAGGGGCAGACCTGGCACAACCATAGTGGGAGCGTCTAAGGAGTTGGCCTCTGTGTGTGTGTGTGGTGGGGAGGGGGGGGTGAGCATCTAAGGTAGGGATGTCGAACTCAATCAGAGAAGGGGCCAAAATCTAAAATCCAGCCTAAATCGTGGGCCGAATGGTTTACTGAACAGTCATAAACTGTCATTGTGATGGAAACGCAGCGGAGTGCAGTGATGACAGCGCGGTGCGGGCCACATTGCAAGGCCTGGCGGGACGGATTTGGCCCGCGGGCCTTGTGTTTGACACATGTGATCTAAGGAGTTGGCCTCTGTGTGTGTGTGTGGTGGGGGGGGGGGGGGAGAGATGATAGCGCCCAGGTGTGTGCCTGGCCCTTCTACATGCATCAGCTCCCTGAAGTCCCAGCAATGGCAACATGTGCCCAGAGGTAGGGAAACAAGGCCAGAGGCGGAGAGTGACTTGACCAGGGTCACTTTGCCTGCCAAGGCATGCTGGAACCCGCAGGGACCCAGTTCTGCCTGGCACCAGCCCTGCTTGCCAGGCTCGGCTCCTCACTTCCTGGAACCCCGGGCTGGCAGCAGCAGGCAGGCCCGTCAG